AATGAGTAAAAAACAAACGTCGCTGGAGAGCTTCTTTGAAAAGGGGGAAAGACCCAATGATGACCCCCCCCCCCCCCCCCGGTCCGTGAAAAAATTGTCTTCCACGAAACCTGTCCCTGGTGCCAAAAAGGTTGGGGGCCGCTGTCCTAGACCCTTCGGGATGGTTCCCGGAGCTTCTCGACTGACACCGCCCTTAACCTTTACCCCAGATACGCCCCTTCATAATAAGGCATTGTGTAATGCAGCTATAACCGTAATGGCCCTTACAGGCCGGCAGGTGTCACCCTGTCATTACAGTTGTATGATTACCTGGTATTTTTTTGCGTGTGCCTCCAGGTTTTTCCGCAACATGGCGACAAAAGATTGACGTCTTCCGCGCACATTTGACATTTCTCCTGCACGTTAACCACACCACAGCCTACGCCCACCACCTTCCTCACACATTGAGGACCCATACTTTTGAGCAAATTCTCTTCTTTGGCTACCACTCAGCTGTTATTCTCACTAACCATCAATTAGACACTCGAGCGATGCGTCTTAACAGTCGCAAAGGTGCACATTAAATAATATACCGTGTTGTCCAATAATGTAACGTGTTTCTAAAAGCTTTACTGACAAGTATACCATACTGTGGCGTGCACTGTCTGATTATTGCATTTAAATGCAAATTCACTCACAGCAACTGAAAGGTGACATTCATTCCTAAAAATAGTGAGAAAAGCTTGGTCTAAATCAGTGCTTTGCAACCGGTGTGCCACAGCAAAGTCTTAGCAGGTGTGCGACAGTATTTTTGGAATTATAGGAAAGGAAAGAACCCCAACTATTCGCAAACTGGGACCGATGAACTCTCCTCTGTGCCGTTCAGTGGCCGATCCACTCCCCACCACCTCACCTCCCACCCTCTCCATTATAGTTGCGTAATTCGGCAGCAGACAGCCGTCAGCCCCCACCGCCGGCCCTCACAACCCCCTCGGATCGCGCACGCAAAGTTGGGATTTTGGTTATGTTCAGTGGACCGCCGTGAAGATCGATCAAGCTCCAGAGTGTGTGTGCCATGTCGGTAAAGTGGTTGATAGGGTTGATTTGAAGCTTTCGTGACTGCAGGAATTAGTCTTTGGTTCTTTCGGTGAATTCACGTAGAAAGAAAATAAATTGAATAATAGAATACGACGTTTCGATTGCAACACAAACAATCGTCATCAGGTAAGAATGAATGAGAAAACAAACCTAGTCAATCTTCTTGGTTCTTTCGGTGAAGTCACGTAGAAGGGAAATAATAAAATAATAGAAATAAAACATATTATTTCCCTTATACGTGACTTTACCGAAAGAACCAAGAAGATGAATCCCTGCAGTCACGAAAGCTTTAAATCGAAAATTAAACCTAGTAAACTTAGAAATATAATGCAATACAACACAGAGAGTCGGCTAAATTACACGTAATCGACTCGTGTAGTCAACCTTTTCATTATTATTATTGCGCTATGAACACAACATTGCAACGCGTTTTTATCTTCTTGGGGTGGATAATTAATCGCAAACTTTTGAAAAATAGATCGTGTTCAACTCCTTCTACGTGGTTTATTTAAATCGCGTATCATGTAATAGCTATTAATTGACACCAGATGGCGCACACGTCATCATAAAGGCCACGAATTTGATTCAAAGCAAGTTGCGCGTGTTTATTCCCAAATACTGCATTTACAATAAAAACAACTTTCTGTCCTCTTCTGACAAATTAACGGTAATCCACAAGCGTTGTCAATCCACTGCTCGATTAAGAATCATTTGATGATGCTGCATGGGCAGTAGTGCACAAGCACATTTCACAAATCTCAACACATTTGTCAATAAACACTGTGGACTCAAAATATGAAATATATAAGAGGCAACGCTTCGGGCGATGACCCTTCCTTATAGCACGTAAATATGAAGGGCAGTTGCCCAAAAGGTAGCCTATGATATGTATTTTTGCTTTTAATACAAGTGTTATTGACGAATGTGTAGAGCTTATTTGTTCACACTGCTTATTGAAGGCCTCACCCCGCCATGTCAGTAACGGGGGCTGTTGAACCATACTTCACCACGCTGAATTTCGATTTAACTTAGGACGCTGTCTTTCCGACAGCTCTGTTCTTCACCTGAGGACGGCTGCTTGCGTTGTGGCCGAAACGTCGTGAGAATTTTATTTTGTAATGTTTTATGTTAATTATTTTATTATTTCCCTTCTATGTGACTTTATCGAAAGAACCAAGAATATTCACCACGCTGGTCAATGAACTCATCAATGACGTCTCTTAGTCAAATCTTTTTCCATTTAAAATTTTCATCTGAAAAGGAAAAAGAAAATGTTATATTAATAATCATAATATAACATACTGTATTAACTTAAATAATTGTTTTAATGCCAGTATTAAAATAACGTGTCCTGACTTTGTGTTTACAATGGAGGGGAGTGGTAACAGTGGGTGCCACGGTGGCGAGATGTTAACTACCTCGCCTGGTATGCAGGAGGTTGTGAGTTTAATCCCGCCCTGACGCCTGCTGTATATTTGAAGTTTGCGTGTTCTCCCCGTAGTCACGTAGATTTTTTTCCGGGTCCCCCGGTTTTCCCCTCCACATTTAGAATCAATACGCAGTAAGTTTCCACATGATAAGCCACTAGCTATCATTTGTGGCCAGGTCACTCTCCAGCTCAGTGAGCCTTACCCAGTAAACTAAAAACTGTATAATACAAGTTTGTTTTTGGTTAGATCCGGTGAATATAAATGTGTCATTAAACCTTCCACCACCCGACACAGCCAATTAGTAAGGTAGGTCGCGTAAACAGAACGTGCCAATTCGTTACTAGTACAGCACACCGGTGTGTTGGAGAGCTAAGCCACATTTACAATCTGAGTACGACGTTTCGCCAGTAATTACAACTAGCATCATCAGGCGGACAGCCAGATTTTTTTGAAAAATCCTCCTGTTTCGTTCCTTAAATAGAGGGATACTTATGATGATGTCACTTGTGAGCCATTCACGTGCGAAGGGTGGGGGGGGGTGGAGATTAATGAATGCATATGAATTACAATGGGTAACCATTCCGGGTTTGGGTTTTGTATATGGTAATCACCTTACATTATGCACGCACATTATGTAGAGGCCGACCGAATCTGAATTTCTAGTTTCGGCCGAAACCGAAACTAGACCGAAAGTAAAAAAAAATTACTTTCGGCCGAAACCGAAAGTAAACCCAAAGAGGACATTTGCCAAGTTTCGGCGCCGAAACCGAATTTCGTTCGGCCTCTAACATGATGCCTACACATTGTTTCTGTACCTGTTGTCGTTTGTGTGCACTAAAATAGCAGTATCTGTTATTGTCTGCGAACAGGTAATCCCCATTGACGTATAGGCATGCATTTAATCAATATATTGTTTGATGATTCGCTTCCAAGCAGCACTACAAGTGTGTTCCTATCTGAATGGTTAAAATAATTTGTATTTCTCTCAATTTCGATAGATTCTCTGATTAGTCTTGGTATGCACGAACTAGATTTGAAGCTTTCGTGACTGCAAGGATTCATACTCTTAGGTTTTGTAGGTAAAGTCACGTAGGTATTTTTTAAAAATAATAATAAATGAAATAACTAAATTAAATTACGACGTTTCGGAAGCAACACAAGCCTCCGTCATCAGGTGTAATTGCTCCAGTAATTTTACTAACTGATGACGGAGGCTTGTGTTGCTTCCAAAACGTGATTTAATTTAGTTATTTTCATTTATTATTATTTTCTTTTATTATTAAAAAAATACCTACGTGACTTTACCGAAAAAACCTAAGAGTATGTACGAACTAGTTTTGTATAGAACTTCAACATTATCAAAATCAATTAAGTGTCCTTTTTGGCACGCGTGTTCTGCCACTGCCGACAGTTGTATTTGGGAGTATTTAATACTAGTAAAACCTAGTTTAGTTTAGAAACCTGAAGGCGGTCGCGTAAACGTGGGGGTTTTAACTGGTCAGAGGAGCCCAGAGGCGCCGGGCTACGAAGAGGATGGGAAATTGGACCGGGGGCTCCATTTCATTCCTTACACGAGGGCCCTTGCCAAGCAGCCCCTACGCCACATAGCATTTGGGCAGTGGAGCAATGGTCCGTGCACTGCACTATAAACAAGGCGAGTTCGGTTCGGGGCCACGCATAACTTTCAGTGGTGAGTATTCTCAACCCACCCCCTCCCCAACTCCATCCTCGCCAACAACCCGCACTGACCAGCGCGGTGAAGTATGGTCACAAACCCCCTTGAACGGTACGACGTGGTGAGACGTTCGTCAAACAGTGGATTAAGTTAATAAAAAAATGTAAGCGCTCAAAGACACGGATGATTGCGATTTGCATTGAGAAACAGAAAGAGGAAGACGTGATTTGACATAGGGCTGATAATTAATTCTTATGTAATCCGTTCACGCTACATTCACCATGATGTTAACACGTAAACACTTATATTTTTTCCCTTCACGGAGCCATGGCATAAATTCAAACAGAATGTAAATACCAAAATACATAAGAAGACTTTGTCTCTCTCTCTCTTTCGTATATCTGTCCACGTAACTTTTTTTCATGAATGTAGTTCTTACAGAGCCCAATCGGCTCCACTGCCTTTCGCGAGTGCATACTTTCAGCAGCATTGATACAATCAGCACAAGCAAACCCGTGGACCAACTTCGAAATTCAGTGTCTCATCAGCGCGGCCAGGCTTGCTTGAATCAATGCTGCTGAACTGTCCAGATATTAAAGGCAAAGACGCTCCCTCTCTTAAGATAAGGGGGGTGACGAAGCGATATAGGGGAGGGGAGGCGTTGTGAATGGCTCACCCCCTCCCCTTCTTGCGACCACACTACTGCCCGCGGCACCCCCACGGTGAAGGAGAGGGAGAGGGTGCAGGGCAAGAAGGGAGGGGAGGGGATGAGGGTGCAGGGCGTCACTGGGAGGCCCGGCTGGTGTGGTCAACTCGGCGTGGGCAAGAACGGCTGTCGCGACCACGTGCGTCCGATTCGGGGTGTCGCAATGTCCAGCGCGGTGTTGTAACGCGTGCCTAGCAGGCACTAGACTCCAATGTTGTGAACCGCGGTCGCCCTGTGAGAAAACAACAATCACAACAACAATACCAACACGTACCAAGCACACACATCGCTCTACACTCTGCGATGCGCTTTGCTGTATAATTAATTGAACTCTACACGACACTATATTTAACTAATTTCGCTACACTCAACTCCGCACTCAACTCAAGTCTATACTCAGCACTAAACTCTGCACTCGGCTCTCGTATATTCTCCCACTCAACTCCACTGTCTGTCCCACTCAACTGTCGGCCTGCACTCCACTCGTCTCTGCGGGGATCATCGCACGCCTTTGTCTCCCGGAGACGTCCGTTCCCTTCGAGATCATCGCTGCGTCTCCTGCAAAGAATCATCACTGTGTCCTCTATTCGAGAAATGTAGCTGTTGATCTCGTGGGTACATCATATGCTGAACCAGGTATCTCCCCCTTGGGCAAACTTATTTTTTGTTCAGTTAAATTGTTTTATTTCTTGAACAAGTTACACACTTGCCAGACCTTAGTTTTGCCGGCTAACTTCTTCATCTACCGGCTAACTTTCTTCATCTGCTGGACAAACCCTACAACCTATCGGAGCAAGTCCTTGGAACCCGCCGAGACAAGACCCTTCCGTCCTGCTGGAGCAACATCTCCCGATGAACGAGTCGCAGGAGCAATGCGCGAGCATCCCCGCCGGCAGTTCGGCCACCCCCGCCGCGCTCATGTTCTGCGTCGGCGTGGTCGGAAACGTCGCCGCCGCCTCCATCCTCTGGTGCTCGCGACCCGATAGCAAGCGCAGCGTCTTCTTCACCCTCGTGTGCGCGCTCACCGCCACCGACCTGTTCAGCACCCTGCTCTCAAGCCCAGTCGTGCTCACCGCCTACAGCCGCAACAGCACCCTGCGTGAGCTGGGCGGCGACTCCCTGTGCCTCTACTTCACCTGCTGCATGCTCTTCTTCGGCGCGGCCACGATGGGCATCCTATTCGCCATGGCGTTCGAGCGCTGCCTCTCGCTGAGCCACCCGTACGCGTACAGGAGGCTCGTGCGGCGAGCCGGAGCATTCGGGGTGCTGGCCGGCATCTACCTGCTCAGTCTGCTCGCCGCGCTCATGCCCGTGATGCGCTTTGGCCGCTCGCGCATGTACAAGCCGTGCACGTGGTGCTACGTGGAGATGCGCCACGAGCCGGGCTACTCCGTGCTCTACGCGCTCTTCCTCTCGGCACTCATCGTGGCCGTGCTCGCATGCAACGCGTCCGTCATGCTGTCCCTGCGCGCCATGCGACGGCGGCTGCTGCTGTCGGCACCCCCCGCAGCTTGCCGGGGCTGTCAGCAACAGCAGCAGCAGCATAAGCAGCAGCAGCATAAGCAGCAGCAGCAGCAGCCCCGCACGTTGTCCCTGCGCCGCAAGTTGTCCCTGCACCGCCGGATGAAGCACGCGCGCGGGGTCGAGGTGGACAACCTCGTGCTGCTCGTGGTCATGACGCTCATCTTCCTCATCTGCTCGCTGCCCCTCACGGTAATCGCGCGGCGGTGCACGTGTGGGGGGCGGGGGGTTGCTCTTGGCAGACGAGCCTGTCCCCCTAGGGTATATGGCAAATCTGGGCGGCCGCCCTGGGCCCCGCGCTTGGGGGGGGAGGGCACGCGCTTCGGCGTCACGGTGTCAGATGTAATACACTTACGGTTTAGTTTGAAAGCGTCCAGTGACCCACAGTGTGATTTGGCCTGCACCCCCCTATGGACGGCCGTGGCCGCTGGGTATATACACACAGTATAGGGTGGCCAAAAAGTCAGGATACATGACTATTTCATGTATGTTTACACTGATATTAAAACATTTTAATTGTTTCTTCATTAAGTTAATATGTTATCTGTTATCATTACGAATATGTTTTTTCCTGTGTGAGGCCACCTCAAATCCGTCATTTACATAACTCGACCCAGGAACCCCGAAAGAATTGAGACAAAACGTATTTCTGAATGTTCAAAGATTACTCCTTTAATCCTAAACAAACCAAAAAATAGTTCAAAATTAATTTCTAAATTATTCATTGCATGCATGAATGTGCATTGAAGTTTGAACATTTGGTAAAATAAATTAAATAACCCGATGTGATTTGTTAAAATAAATTTCATCATTTTATGTCTTGACTCTTGGACCATCTTGTACTGTATATTTAAACAGTATGCGTAGGATGACCGCTATTGATGTTAACTAAACTTGTATTTGCCAAGTAAAGCCCACTGTGATATTAGCTTTTTTTTCGAGATGTACTGACCACACATAATAGCTCATTGAAGTACATTATATCACCATCAATGTGAAAATTGAGAGTAGCCAAATAATCTAAACGCATATTTATAAATGTGGAGGAGAAAAAAACGGAGAAACCCGGAGAACAATCCACGCGACCGCCACGGAGAGAGAACAAACTCAATACAAAGAGCACTTCTAAATAAATTAGTTTTCAATCTAGATGATTTAAACGTGCACAGCACCAGTGGCTTCCTAATATCGGATGAAAGAGCGTTCCAGATAGCCACAGAAGCGCATGTGAAAGCGTGCGATGCACTAACCGTCTTTGGAAATAACATAAGGTAATCTAGCGGAATGTTATTGAAGAATCCATAATAGAGGTTTTTTGGTTACATCGTAACGTAAACAAAACATGCCAATTCGTTACTAGTACAGCACACTGGTGTGTCAGAGAGTAAACCCGAAATAGTTTATCGGGCTCCTACTTTCTGCTCCTCTTTTCTCCACAAATCTGGCTGCCCCCTGATGTTGCTAGTTGTAATTACTGGAGAAACGTCGTACTCCAATTGTAAATGTTATGGGTTTACTCTCCAGGTATTGAAGGGGTTTCGTGAATCAACGTTTTTTCTTATTCTAGAAATGATCACCGTTGACTTCCCATCAACACAGTCCTTCAGGGGTGATGTGCTGGGTGGATTCTGCCTAACGGGATTTTAAGTTGTTTTAGCGGCTTTAATCTGGGGTCAGTGAGAGCTGTTGATTGATTTTCCACAAAGTCCTTCCCCCGCACTTCCGATTAGCACAGTGCCCAAATCTTGGAGACTCAAACTGTGCATGCTGCAAACGGATGCTGCACGCCCCGAGTAGCTATCGACTTCCTCGCCGATCACCAAATACAAAGAAGGCATTCGAGAAAGCGTTACACAATCCATGAGTATGCACGAATAGCGTCTTTTTATTTATTACTGATTGTTCCTTTCTTGAAGGATTCCTTTGAGAGTCACAATTTATTACTCTCCCTGTCTCTCTCTCTCTGTGGACCCGTGCGAGAAATCGTTTGGGGGCTCAGGCTGCTCCGGCTGCGCTTTGAAGATTGGAGAGACTGATCCTGTTACACAAAGACCCTCTTTGCTGGCAGTGGCGTTTGCGCTTGAGTCGAATTCTGCTTCTACTAAATCCGCTGGGGAGTCTGGAGAGGCGATAGCGGGTAATTGAGTTGGGCCCCCCCCCCTATCAGCAAACTTTGCTCAGTGAGTTATGTTGGAGACTAGGGTCGGCAATACCGGCTGCATCCCTCAGATAGTTATGGGAAATGGACAATTGAGATGTGTGGAACGTATCCTCTGCGTTATCTGCAGAGGACTTAAGACTGTAATGCAAACAAGAATAACAAACACGTGCATATATGCTTGTTTTTCTCTGATGCTTTTGCGCATGCGTTAACCTCGGAGGTATTGAAAGAAAAAAAGGAATTTCATGAATGTGGATTACCTCATATTATGTACGGATCAACATAGCAACTGAGGGTACGGATCAAAAACTTTAAAGTGCACAGAGAAGCGTGGAGAGATGTACGCTTAGCATTACATTAAGAGACAGGGGAACACAAGGATTGGAGACCTTCAGCATGTTAGAGACATCATATTGACTGTTAAGAAGACAGCAAGTGGGCTTTGGCACGACGTGTCGCTAAGAGGTGATGGCTGATGGTCGAGACTAACGACGGAGTGGCAACTAAATGAGATAATTCGTGCATCCGAGTAAGTCCGCTGTGGAGATGGATCTATGAAATTAGTTTACATGACGGTGCTAGATGGATCATTACATTGCAAGACACACCGTGAAAGATAGTAATGACCTAGGGAGGCTTTCATCCAGCAGTGGCTTGTTGCTGATTGAAGAAGATGACAATGATAGTAATGATGATCAAGAAGGTTTGCAGCTTCGGAAATGTTCACTCACGCTCTTCGCCAATAGGATCTCCCCTGTCGTTGAGAAGATAATTGCGTCGGTCAAATAGAGCTCAGAAGAAGATTCAGCCAGAAGCAATTTGCTATTCCGTTTGCTGAGGAGATAGGTGCGGTAGACGAAGCAAGGGTGCCTCTGTGGCGAGATGTTATCTGCCTCGTCTGGTATGCAGGAGTTCGTGGGTTCGATCTCGACCCTGACGCCTGCTCTATATTTAGAGTTTGCATGTTCTCCCCGTGGTCGCATGGATTTTTCTCCGGGTCCTCCGGATTTCCCCTCCACATTTCGAAACATGTGGTTTAGAGTATTTGGCTGCTATACATTTCCACATGATAAGCCACTTCGTTGAGCTTTCATTTGTGGCCAAATCGCTTCTGAAAAAGAGCTATATAGCTCAGTGGGCCTTACCTGGTAAACTACAAAAATCGTTTGAACAGTAAAAGTGTTGAACATTCTCCACGGTTTCATTATACAAGATATGATGACACTTTCAGACGTCATTTGTGACCTGCAAGCCGTCACGGTGTGAAACACTCATTCATAGAATTCGCCAAACCTCCAAATGCAGGACCCTCCCGAGAAAAGCATTGAGACTTCGTCATCCTTTCCAGGATATTTAAGGGGCATTGTTATTTCTGTATTGGCATATACGTGTGTTGAACTGTATGTATGTTGAACTTATTTCGCACTGAAACGTAGCCAACCGTTCCAATCGGTGGTGCGGGACAATTAGAGAATGTGTGATTTGCAGCAATACATGGTTTCCATGCATCAGAGAGCGTTTAATTGCATAAGCAGGCTCAGCAATCGGACGTTTTGCAACATCGGTGGTGCGTCCAATGGTCGAGAGCGCCTCCAGAGTTACTTTGGAGCTGCTTTCCTTTTGAACGATGACCTTGTGAGCAGCCCAGCGCGCATCGCGACACGAAGCGAAAGGTCTGAGAGAGCTGCCTCAGCCTGAGCGTTTGGCGAGCGTGTCAAAATCCAACCAATCGGAGGTGCCGCCCTACCTCACCCTGCGAACTCTCGGTTTCGTGGACACACAACACGTGCCATGCGCGCGCGTTCATTGGCAGAGCGAGTGAGTCGTGACGTCACAGCGCTGATGCGATGGCTCTCGACATCCGAACACACTGCTCAATAAAAATTATAATTCAATTTCGTAGCGCGCCACGGCAGCGAGCTTTTCCTATTGAACACACCCCAAGTATGAACTATATTATGCGCTGTTGTGGTGGACTATGAGTAATGTATTAATAGATCAAATGCAAGGAAACTATTTTAACTTTTATTTTACCAGGTAAAACCCACCGAGTTACGTAGCTCTTTTTCAGAATTGACCTGGCCACAAATGATAGCTCAACGCAGTAGCTTATCATGTAGAAATGTATAGCAGCCAAATACTCGAAACGCATGTTTCGAAATGTGGAGGGGAAAACCGCAGGACCCCGAGAAAAATCCACTGCCCCATTGTTTTGTGGCCTAGCGTGGTTGGCATGGGCCTTAGTGTAAGCAATTTCCCTTCCACTACATGTTCCGACACTTGGGCCCCTCCAGCCGGTGGGCCCTGGCGCAGTTGCATCTCCTGCAAGCTCAATAGCTACACCACCACCCCTCCCCTCCATTATACATATAGTTTGCTGAAAACATTCATGTGCAATTCAGCTGTCCGGAGGCTCTGGGGGCTACATTACATTGCATGTCAAGCGTATTCCGCATTTGATGGAAGTTGCTTAATGTCCGGAAATGCAGGAATTTCTTCTCTGATCCACGATAGGACGTTGGGAGAATGTTTAGCACGTGCGTTTATCCCGCTGTACACCTATTTGTTAAGAGAGGCTGTACAACAGGAGGGAGGAGGCCTTAGCAGCTGGTAACAGGACAGGAGGAACAGGCCTTCACGTTGGTTCCAGCACGGGCCTTGCTGATGGCAGGATGGGGGAGGGTGGGCATGCCACTCGGGGCAGGCAGGACAGGATACTGGGGCATTTGGGGCTTTTGAGTGTGCTGCAGGGAATGGGGAAGTTGATGAGGGCTGTGTTGATAATGTTGGCATGCTGGGGAAACTTAAATTGGCCTGTACAGTAAAGTACACCAACAGCCCATTGAATTGTATCATGTCTAATTTTAGAACAACAATAATCTATACAAACATTACAGTACATCATATAGACATGACAGTATGGCATTAGAGTGCTTTATAGACTCAAACTGACAATCATATTGTGCTGTCTCAGTGGATTAACAAGGAAGGAAATCAACTGCTGAAGATGCATTTTATATAAATAACATCTACGTCCTCGGGGTAATGGGAATTGAGTTAAAGTTAAACGATGCAACTCTCCACAGTATGTTTAACACTTAGACTTTCGCAACCAATATTGTCCATAATAGAGATATTTTTTTTGGTGAGATCGCGTAAATATCTGTCGTTAAACCCGCCGCCACTTGACACAGCCAATTAGTAAGGTTTGTCGCGTAAACGAAACATGCCAATTCGTTACTAGTGCAGCACACTGGTGTGTTGGAGAGTAAACCCACACCATTTAAAATTTGAGTACGACGTTTTGCCAGTAGTTACAATAGGCATCGTCAGGCGACAGCCAGATTTGTGGAGAAATGCTCCTGTTTTCTCCACAAATTTGGATGGCACCTGATGATGGTAGTGTACGCGACAAACCTTACTAATTGGCTGTGTCGGGTGGCGGCGGGTTTAACAACACATTTATATTTATGCCACCTAACCAAAAAAAACTATCCACAGTATAACTTTGTTTGCATTATTCAAATATTATGAAGCATCCTATGTTGAAGCAACTCTGTTGCCTCTCCAACACAATTGCACATCATGAGATAGTCAACTCAACGAGAGCGCACACGATCATGAATAAAGTGGACGTTGGATGGCCTGACCCCTACCGTGCCCTTTCGCCTGAGTGGCTTGGCCCGGCAAGCCCTGGCAGGCCGATCTAGGCAAGAAAAGGAGCCTGCGTGGCCTATGAGTAAAACAAACAAACAAAACAAATATTCAGAAATGTTAGATAAATTAGGCGAAATAAACGGAAAAAAACGTCAAAAATAACTAATGTGTGTTATTTAGCTTTGATAAATATTTCTTGTAAAATATCTCCATTTGTATAAAACATTCAGCCATATTGGGCCGGATCACTTTGACGGCCACGCAATCACTTTGTGCATGAAGGCAGTTTCGATTAAAAGTTGAAAATGTTCAGGGCCACAGGCAACGTTATGGTCTCTGTGTTCCAGCCACAGTTAAACAGAGCAATCGGGCGACAACAACATTGTTTTATGTAACAATATGTCGGTATGTTGAACTTTTTTTCGCACCGTACATGGCCAACCATGAAAATTGTAGGTGCGGGGGAAGGAGAACAAACCGAACACGCAAATCAGTTCTAAAGCAATGCGTTTTCAATCCTATATTTAAAAGTGCATTGCTTTAGTGGCTTCCTAATATCGGAATGAAGAGCGTTCCAGACGGAAGAAAACGCGCATCTGAAAGCGTGCGATGCGGTAACCATCTTTGTTCGCATTTACGCCGTTTATAGCTCAACAGAGCAATATTTACCAATAGCATGTATTTAAATTATTTCAGGAGACTAATGCCACGTCAGAGTACTGAGGTGGCACCATCAAGATCCTGGGTTCAAAGCCGGGTTGCAACAGGGGTAGCCACCTCTGAGATTTAAAAAAGCCGAGATATATCATGGAAAGAATAATCTTACAATCTTGATTTGAAGCTTTCGTGACTGCAGGAATCCATACTCTTTGGTTCTTTCGGTAAAGTCACGTAGGTATATAAAAAATTAAAATTATACCTACGTGACTTTACCGGAAAAAAAACCCTTTTTTTATATATACCTACGTGACTTTACCGAAATAACCAAAGAGTATAATAATCTTACAATACCGGAAGATGGGAGAACTGCTTGTAACTGACGAAACCCATGACTTTTTTTGTTGCGGGAAGACTTGCAGATATGCTAGGACAGCTCCCTCAAAAAGAGGACGATCCTGGGAAAACCAGAGGACAGGTTCGCCAACCGCTTGCATCGGTGGCATTTGTTTAAACAAACAGCCTGTGGCCCATTACAACCCCGTTGAAAAAGCATCGTCTCACAAAATTGTCAACGTTTATCAACCGTCAACGCATTTCTATAGCCTTTCAACAATGTTGTACGCACATACTGTATTGTCAAAAGGCTCACGCATGAAACGCATCCACAGTAATGTTGACCAAGTGGTGTAGCCGTCAAACATTCTCACAGATGCCTGATAAAATCTCCATGCACTTCCCACCACCTATATATAGTGCACAGTGCACAACTGCCTTCAGGCTCGAATGATCATGCTCAGCACTTTTTCAGTTCTCTGTAACTCCACACGAATTGTACACTGGTAGGGTGGAGCAGGGGAGAGCGCACTGTTGCTATTCATCAGGGCACATGAGTTTAATTCCTGGCCACGCCTAACATCAGTGGTGAGTGACATCGAAACTGGTCCTGGATGCCCCCACCCCAGCCACCAAACTTCACCAACCCGCACTGACCAATGCGGTGAAGTGTGATGAAAACAACCCCCATGACTGAAACAGCGTAGGGAGGCCTTCATCCAGCAGTGGGTCAATAACAAGTTGTAAATAATAATAGTTGTTATTATTGTCGTGGATTCCAACACGATGTTAATTAGCAGATGAGGTAATTAACATTTCGCGATGGCGAGATGTTAATGACCTCATCTGGTATACAGGAGGTCGTGGATTCGATTTCGAACCTGATGCCTGCTGTATATTTGGAGTTTGCGTGTCTCTCCCTGTGGTCGCATGGATTTTTCTCCCGGTCCTCCGGTTTTTCCCCTCCAAATTTTCTGACAAAATATTTATGAAGTAAAAAAAATATCTGCTGTCCACTACATTCTTTCTCACACGATTTTCAGACTATTGAATGGCAAGGAGCTGTTATGCGGCGACGTAGTTAATTTCGTTGTTGCACTCGTGTAACCGTATCAGCGTTATAGCTTTCGTAAGTGATTGAGAGAGATCTATGGCAGGCTTACGGTTGTGGCGCCAACTGCAGCTGAATAACGCGTTGAGTGATTTGCATCCGTGACCGCGGTCGTCGTCGTCGTCGCACGAGGGGGGCTATTATCAACTGTCCATTGGTTTAGACTTTAGATTGATACGGCCTCGCCTGCCGCACGATGTGCTGATAGGGCTCGATGGAGAGCCATTGTTTGACGGAGTGAATTGAAACCGGCCCATTCTTCTGTGGCGTCGGTGAATATGTGCCCGTTACGGGGAGAGGTCGTGTGGCGGTTGGCGCACCGCGCTGCGCTGCGAACCAGGCGACCCGGGTTCGATTCCCGCTCACTGGCCACTTTCGGTGACAATTATCTGAACCGTTCTGGGGCCTCCCGTTGGTCGACTCAGCCTCAAAATTAGTAATCAACCAGGTAGGGTGTTGACTGTTGTATTAGCTGACTCTCTGTGTTGTATTGCATTACATTTCTAAGTTTACTAGGTTTGTTTTCTCATTCATTCTTACCTGATGACGATTGCTTGTGTTGCAATCGAAACGTCGTGTTCTATTATTTAATTTAATTTTTCTTTCTACGTGACTTTACCGAAAGAACCAAAGAGTAATTCCTGCAGTCACAAAAGCTTCAAATCACGAACTATTTATTGTACCAGGTAAGACCCAATGAGCTCTATAGCTCTTCTTCAGGTGCGAGCTGGCCACAAGTGATAGTTCAAAGAAGTGGCGTATCATGTTTGAAATGTACAGCAGCTAAACGCTCTAAACACACGTTGATTCTGGAAGACTCGTAGAAAAATTCATGTAACAGCAGGAAGAGAGAGACACGCAAACTCTAAATATGCAGGCGTCAGGGTCGGTGATCGAACCCTCCGCTTTCTGCACACCAGGCGATGTAGTTAACTTCTCGTGAGGGATGGTGATGACTTGGGGAATTCATTATCCACAGCAATGGATTGTGCATAGCTGATAAGGATGATGATGATCATAATATCATATTCATTGATTAACTATCTGTATGGTTACGTGAGGGTTATTCCCCTGTATGCATGGATATTCTTTATGTCCTCCGGTTTCTTCCAACATGCAAGACACTCATTAAAGAATTAGCGCAACGATCCACAAGGGCACACGCAGGACCCTCCAGAAAAAAAGTATTCAGCCTCATGGAACAAATAAGCGACATCATTCCAAACACGATACCACAAACATGTAATGATGCATTCATTAAAATATATTCTCATACTCGCAGAAGAATCGATATATGCTGTATTGTATGTAAATGGGTCGCGTATACCCAAACGCGTAGGTTTTCACAGTTGTGCTGTCGAGATCGCTGATGTGTTTTCAGGTCGTACTGCGTGTTGTTCGACATGGTGTCCGACGTTTTGCGCCATATGCTGGGGGCTTCTTCGGGAGCTGCATTGAGCGGTTCGCTTCATCTGCTCAACTCAGTTCTGCTCAAATAAATTCCCGAAGAAGCTTCCAGGACGCGGAACAAAACATTGGCCATCATACCGAACAACTTGTTTCCATACGACGCGAAAACAGTTCGGATAGCTACATGTCAACCGTGCAATCGCTAGAGGCGTCACGTTCATCGCAACCCTTACACTACAATTCATCAAATCGGGAGGGCGGGGGGGGGAGGGTGCAAGGTTGTTGCATGCGTTATAACCAAACCTCTCTGTGTGCCAGGTGAGCGCGTTCATCAATGCGATCGACCCAGGCAACAACAACTTTGGGAGGGACCTGACCGGCCTACGCTTCGCCTCATTCAACCCCATCCTCGACCCATGGATCTTTATCATCTTCCGCCGGTCGGTGTTCGAGCGCCTGCGCTCTTTGCTCTGCTACTGCCTCGTGCTGCCGCGGCACAAGCGCAACGTGGCCTCCGCCAGCCTTCACCTCCACTCCGAGCCGCCGTCGTCACTGCCGCCCGGCGCTGCCCATGACCCTGAGTCGAGCTGCCACTTTCAGCCCTGGCGGTCGGATTCGTGCGCGAGCAATTGTGCGGGCGACGCGTCAAACGGGCAGCCCTGGCAGGCCGACCCTGGTCCAGGCGCTCACGTGTACACGAGCGACCCGTGTGACCCGCGAACTCGGCAGGTGAACACAGTTTCCCACGATTGCGAGTGCACACGTATCGCGGGCGAGCCCGCGTTGAGCAGCCAGCCTTGGCACGTGGATCCCTGTCCTGGCGCTTGCGCGTGTACAAGCGCAGCGGACGGCCCAACGTTGGACCGCCAACCTCAACCTTGGCGGGCGGACTCGGGTCTCTTCGGCGATTGCGTGTGCACGGACGCCGCGGGTGGCCCGAGCGGGCTGCCGAAATCGACGGTCGGCGCTGCCGTCCTGGCGGCTGGGGAAGCCTGCGAAGGGGACGTCGCGGACGTGCAGATGTCCCTGCCGTGAGGGCATGGGAACGTGGCTCACGGTCGTGAACCCGCGACCAGTGCGCACCCTTCCCGGCGTCCTGACTGGAAACGTTTAAATTGACACTGGAAAAAAACTTCCTACGCGGTGTGTGTTTTGGAAAACTTATTTGGTGAAACTCGCAAACGAGTATCGCATCGTGACGGTTTTTAATCCACTTCAAAGGTCGCCTGTACAGATGTCCGCGTTGCTTGCGTTGGTGAAGGCATCAGCAGCTGTAATCGCGGGCTGGTTTATTCGGCATGTGTGCGGAACAATTTTGATTAATGGTGAAACGTGACTGCAATTCACGATGTTGTGTATGAGCGTAAAATCCTTTATGTCAGGAAATACATGATAACATGTGTTGCTACAGCATAGTTAAATGAGGAAGTTAAACTACGTGCCAAACTGTTGCTTCTTTTGAATTGCTAAACGTACAAATCTTGTCCCACTGAACATTATATTACCATTGGAGTGTATAGTTACACTTAGAATTTTGCTATTTCCATAAGACTATTACGATACTAGTTTCTTATTTACCAGCTAAAGCCCACTGAGCCTTTAGCTCTTTTATAAAGGCAACCCGACCACATGTAATATCTCATCAAAATGGCTCATATTATCATCATCATCATCATACGTGGCAGTTTATAGCAGCAGCCAAATAATCTGAACGCATGTTTCTCAACGTGGAGGGAAGGGGCGGGGGGGCAACTCTGGTAGACCAGCAGAAAGTGCCACGTGACCATGGGGAAAGAGAACACGCAAACGCCAACTATGCGACAGGCGTCAACAAGGTTGTGATCGAACCCACGAGCTCCTGCGTACGAGGCGAGGGAGATAACGTCTCGCCACATTGCGGCCTCGAAAGAAACGCGTCGCCTTAGACGGTCGGATCCCGAATACTCTTTGCCCCTCGGTTTAAGGATAACGTCCAAATAAACGCTCTTCAGAAACCACCCACACTGCTTATCATACAAAGCCCAGCAGAGTGGTGGGGGGAGATGGAGAGGGTGGAAGGCTCGAAGTGCCCCCCCCCCCCCGTCTAAGTTCCTATACTGCAGTCTAGTCGTGTTGGTGCAATATTTATTCTTGTGCACATGGGGGAAGGGAGGTGAGAGCCACATCAGAATGCACGATCTCGCATCGTTCCTCGCTCCGTGCAGCGTTTTAGCGTTTGCTTCGTCGTTGACCATGTCGTGTGCCCCCCCCCCCCCTCAACTGGGCTTTGTACACCCCGCACCACTGGCCTATTAAAACGGGGTTGGAACTACACGGGTTGCCAGACGTTACATCAGCGCTCTTAAATAACAAAACTGTGGCGAGTGCATTCGTGAACAAGGCGATATTTACCCCCCGAGCAGCGGTCAAAGAAAAAAACACCCTTAGACGGTGATTGCATTGCCAGACGCGGCAGCGCATGTTTTACTGGGTGCGCTCTTAAATGTCTTGCTGGTCTTTTTGGAAGACATGATAAAAGCTTATTCGCCATTAAAAGCATACTCTATGGTTCATTCGGTAAGGTCACGTAGGTAGAAAAGTTAAATAAAATACTAAAATAATATATCACGTGTGGAAACCCTTCCCTATGGATTCCTGCAGTCACGAAAGCTTCTAATAAAGATTGCACCGCTTCTACAGGGAGGGTTTCCACGCATGATGTATTATATATTTTTTTCTATTTACGTGACTTTACCGAAAGAACCAAAAAGTATCGATTCCCGCAGTCACGAAAGCTTCAAATCAGGATTCCATTGAAAGCCTTCAAAATGCCCAGAATAAAACCCGCGTATTTTTTTATGACTTCATAAATGGTGACGAACGTGCGCGCTCTGCTGATGCACACACGAGGCATTTCGACTTCAAAACAACGGCCCCACTTGAGACCATGTGGTGGTTTTATTAGCTTGGCGCAGAGACTGATAAGAAACGGACGCTTCCGAAATTCCACCTCTCTAAAATCACGAGTGCCTGAGATGGGTGTGACCTTCATTTAACCCCGCGTGTGGAAGTCCACCTTTGGGCTTAATATCGCGTCCCTTGAAACAAGTCGCACCTCCCATTAGCAGGGTTGGCTACGTACGGCGCGAAAGAAGTGCAGCATACGTACGCGCATCATCGCAATCATCGTCAACCGTGATGGAGCCACGTCTGGCAGAAGGCCGCGATCCACGCAGCGGCTGCATCACGTGAGCAGATTTCATCGCCTCCGTCTGTGGACGTCCTCTCGGACGCGTTCCGTTGGCTGGCTGCCACCACTCCGCCACCACGCTTGAGCATCGACCATCGCCTCCTCTCGCGACGTGTCCTGCCCAAGCCCGCTGACTTTCTCTCAATGTCATCGAAACTCTTTACCGTTTTAGCTCTTTTTGTTGTTGTTGTTGTTGCCGTCGTCGTTAATGACCGCGTGTCTGAACCACGTGTCGGAGCGAGTATTAGACACTGATTGGAAAGAAGACAAAACATAATAATAAAAAAACAAATAGCATTTAACAGATATCAGGGGCCAGGTTCATTTTTTTTAAAAATTGTATGAATAACATAGCCTTGGTGATTTGGCGCAACGTTGGTACTGGTACCATCGGAAGGTCGGCCAACACTTGAATAATGTCCATGAAGCCACAAAGACATTCCTAAGGGTAAGTGTTTTATTCCTCTAAGTGTATCATTAAAATGGAAAATACCATTTATAAATCTACGTATTATGTAACGCTTACAGCGGAGTGGAACGTGAGTTATGAATACACGGAAAATTCGCTCTGTTTTGCAAGCAAATTGAATAGTTTCTCAAATCGTGCATTTTTCAGCAGTGGAGTGGATATTTGGCCTGTGGTTAGACACTGACCAGATGTCTCGGAAGACGTGGGAGGACCCACAGTTTACTGAACTGCATTTGTGCTGATCAATCGTGTAACTGCCGTGGGATCCATTTGTATTGTCGGATGGGCAGAGGCCCGATAGTTTTGAGGAGCTTTCACCGTCTTTTAACTGCCGCGCCGGGAGAAGCAACCGGCGACCTCTGGTTTGTGAGTTCTGTGCTCCTGCTAACCATTACACCAATGCAGCAGCATTCCAGTATTTGTTATCTGTGTACAAATAAACAAAGTTAAATAACACACCCAGAGTCGTGTGTTTCCTTGAATTTTCAAATTAAATGTTATTTTTGGTTTAAAAAAAACTTTACATACTTTGGTGGTGCTGTCGTAAGCTTTTGTAAGCTACAGCTTTGTCGTGTTCATTCCAAGTGTTTTGCAGAGCTATACAAACAACCACCGCATATTCTCAACCTTCCTACTAAATTCTAGGGGGCTAAGGGGGCCCCTAGGAATTAGTGTGATGTCGATGAAATTCGCATCTATCTAAAATGAGGCCTCGAAGAGTGTTAAATAATTATCAATCATTTAGTACTTTTAGTATTCATGCCACATAGCGCCCAGCTATCACGAAGGTGCTGAGTTCAGAGGCCAGAAGATTCATTCTTTGGTTTTTTCGGTAAAGTCACGTATAAAAATAAAATAATAAATTAAATAATAGCATACGACGTTTAGATTGCAACACAAGCAATCATCATCAGGTATAATGCAATAGCGACATAGAATATAACCAGAAAACTATAGACAGACATATAAGCAGACAGATATCACCAAGATACATAGAGAGAGCAACCCAGGTACAGAGAGAGGTGATCGTCTCTGTGGGGTGGCCTTAAATAGACAGAGGGGGGCGGAGGCAGAGAGAGGGAGGGGGTAGGGAAAACATTTACATGTCAATGAGTACGAAGGGAGGGGAGTAAGGTAAGCAGGCTTAGAGGGAGACAGAACACACTAAATTAAATAACCTAGCAAAGTATCGAAATGTTATGTAAAACGACACAGAGAGTCGGTCAACACACAATTAACGCATTGCCTGGTCGATTACGTATTTCAAAGATTGCTAAGTTAGAATTTAAGTGTGAAAATTCCAAAGAAAGACAAAACATAAAAAAAGAGGAACGGAGACACACAGACAGAGCAGAACCTAAGAACGATACAAAACGAGTGTAGACAGAGAAAATTACACTAAATATACAGGCAGAGAGAGAGAACAAGAAACCCAGAGAGAGAGAAAAAGGTAAACTTGGAACTTCCCCGTAGAAGTGGTTCAATCTTAATTTTGGAGCTTTCGTGACTGCAGGAATTATTCTTTGGTTTTTTCGGTAAAGTCACGTATAAAAATAAAATAATAAATTAAATAATAGCATACGACGTTTCGATTGCAACACAAGCAATCATCATCAGGTATAATGAAATAGCGACATAGAATATAACCAGAAAACTATAGACAGACATATAAGCAGACAGATATCACCAAGATACATAGAGAGAGCAACCCAGGTACAGAGAGAGGTGATCGTCTCTGTGGGGTGGCCTTAAATAGACAGAGGGGGGCGGAGGCAGAGAGAGGGAGGGGGTAAGGCCACCCCACAGAGACGATCACCTCTCTCTGTACCTGGGTTGCTCTCTCTATGTATCTTGGTGATATCTGTCTGCTTATATGTCTGTCTATAGTTTTCTGGTTATATTCTATGTCGCTATTTCATTATACCTGATGATGATTGCTTGTGTTGCAATCGAAACGTCGTATGCTATTATTTAATTTATTATTTTATTTTTATACGTGACTTTACCGAAAAAACCAAAGAATAATTCCTGCAGTCACGAAAGCTCCAAAATTAAGATTGAGGCCAGAAGATCTTTCAGTAGTTTGACAGTAAGGGGGCGATGTTGCCATGTGGTTTTACCCAACTCAGTAATGTACCAATAATGTTCTGCTTCCGTGGACCCTGTGATCGCTTTGTGTGACGCTGCTGTGCCGCGTTGCGGCGGGAGCGACGGACAGATTTGTAAGGTTCGCTGTGGATCGTCTCCAAATATTAAAATGCCACCGCCTGTGCTGAAGTCGTTTTAGAGAAGCGGTGAAAATATTTTGAAATTGCCCTCGATGCCAAATCCTTGCCTCACACAGACGCACTGATGTCTGCCAGCATCTGTGCCAGCATCACATTGTAACAACTCGCTCGCTCTCGAAGAGAGAGAGGACGACTCAGAGGCGCAAGACGGAATCACAGACAAGCGGGAAGGGCAGCAGCAGCCAGGCCATGAGCTGGCAACAAATCCCGCCCCCACCACCCCCGCCCCAAGCTCTGTGCTCCTCTAGACATTAAGGTGATATCGACCAATCAACGAGTATTCACATGTGGAGAAAACTGGAGCGCCCGGAGGAAACCCATGTGCGCGAGGGGGCAACACTCAATGCTATACAGACGAAACAGGTGGATTCTAGATTAGAAATTTTCGTGACTGCAAGGATCCATACTCTTTGGTCAAAGCCATCTCTTCGGCATACCTCAGCAACTGATTTCGCTGTGGTGGTCCCCACCTGATGAAGGACGCTTGTGTTGCGCCCGAAACGTCATTTAATTTAGTTGTTTTCACTATTTTATTTTATTATTATTTTCACCTACGTGACTTTCCCGAAAGAACCAAGGAGTATGAAACAGGCGGAGTCAGCATTTTTGCTGCCCTGCCTTCTGGCGAGCCAGGGTAGGGCACTTCATAGACACCCACGTGATGGGAGCTTCACAAACACCCGTGAGGTGCCTCCACAGTGCTGGATTACAGGCCACGTGCGTAGCCACCGCTAACCTGGCGTATCTGCCTCATTGTATAGAGCCATTGCAATTGATGAATAACACTGGATTGTTGCACCCACCGTCGTAATCAGACGATCAAAGAATGCGCGATCACGTCGAGCCGTGATGTATGTGCTGTTGGACGAGGCCTTTCCCTGGCCGTTTCCCACCTCTGTCGCTCTCGGCAACGACCCAGATCTGCGCCTGCCGCACCGCAGGCGCCGATCTGCTCGACGAAGAGACTGGAGCGAGAGCTTTGAAAGTGCCCGACGAAGCGTGCAGGAGGTGCACGCTCGGAATCGCACTGAGAGACGAGAAGAGAAAGACGCGGTTCGGCGAGCAAACACAAATCGGAGACGTCACATCGACCGTTGAGCAACGTCGCTTTTGAAAGATGAAGTTAACACCTCAGTGGGGCTTTGTCTGCTAGGATGGGAATAGTTTAGTTTTGTTTGCGTGTGTTTGGGTGGTTTGTTTACCTTCGTTGTACTTTGCACTTCTGTCGTGTTGTGCACTGTTTGTTGTCGTAACGTTCTTACCCGCCCCGACTGGACATCTGTGAAAAAATATCTTTATAGCTCTTCAGATTCCTCCAGCGTCAATAAATATGCTGATTCTGGAGTGAGCTTGGGCAGGACTCGTCGGTGGAAGGAAGCACGGAAAGCGACTGGAGGCTAACGGTGGCAGCCAAAGGAAGGGAATGCGCTTCAGACGACACCAATGATATGCCCTGCAGTTAAATAGCGAACGTCAGAAGGTTATCATTGTTGACGCACATCTGTTTACATCACCACTCCGTGGCAGATGCCATAGGCTTACACGACAATAGCAAAAGAAGGTCGTCAATTGGTGAATTTATTTGGGACCCCATATGGCGAGGGGTGATGGATCACGCAACACCTGGAGGAACATTCGAAACGACACATTGATGGATGAACCATAAGGTGACGCATCACGGAACCGTTACAGACCGATTATCCCTTGGCCAGGCAAAAACACTGTGCAGCAGTTAAAATGTAATGAGCTAAAGCTGTGAAACGTCACATCCCTTGCTCGCTCTCCGCTCGCTCCCACACATATACTCCCTGCGATCCCATATCCTTCTCCTCCTACTGACCGCTCACTTCCCCTCAGCCTCCACATCTGCACAGCAAAGTGCAAACTGCGTTTTCACACAGGAAATAAGCCCAGGCTGTGATCAGAAATCTACTTTGGCGAAGAAGTTGGCAAGTGCTCGTCACAAAGTGTTTATATTTATTTAAATGTGTGTGGGGAGTGGTAGTGTAGCGGCGGTTAGCGCGCAGCGCTGCGAACCCGGCGACCCGAGTTTGATTCCCGCTCACGGCTAAAACCAGTCACGAATATTTGGACCAGTCCTGGGCCTCTAAAGAGTACCTGGTCCGGTGGTGTCAAACATTACCACTGAGGAGACAAATGCAGTTGGCCGTGGTACTGGCTACCCACCTCCTCGTGTACCGTGCTGACCTTTGTTGGTGCTCGCTAACAAAACTTGCCCCAAAAGTCTGTTAAGGCTGTAAAGAGAATGTTGCTCTTTGTTTTATATACGTTTTTTAATTATCGTAAAAAAATCAAGGTATTTCCGTTCAGGCCAGTTTCTAGCATGTTCTTGTGCAAAAATATTGTCTTTGGAGGTGTATGGCTGGCTCAGAGGTCAGAGAGCTTAGCTGGGGCCACTGAGATCCTGGGGTTTCATCCAGGCAGCCGTCTGTGAGGAAACCGGCTTCTCAAGTGTAGCGAGTTGATGGTCTCAGCCGATTCGCCCAATGACTGCACACAGATAAAGCATAAAGCTATCACATTAAGGTTGATCCTGCACTTAATCACATTAAGGTTGATCCTGCAAAATCGCAGCTGAGAATGATATTATTTGTTTTATTCTCATCCGACAGACGTTACTCTGCTCGGCAGGGTGGATGGGAAAGCGCTGCCCCCTAATGTGTCGACCAGACGTCACTTGAAGGGACCTCAGGGGTGGAAAATTGTGTTGGTAAAAAAATATTTAGAATTAAAATGATCCGTTCCGTGGCATTTACCAAGCGTAGGTTGAACTCAGCGAGTGGTTTCTAGCTGCGGTTGGCTATATGTTAACTACCTCGTCTGGTATGCAGGAGATTGTGGGTTCGATTTCGACCCTGATGTCTGCTGTATATTTTGGAGTTTGCGTGTCTCTCTCCCCGTGGTCGCGTGGATTTTTCTCCGGGTCCTCCGCTTCTTCACTCGATATTTAGAAACGAGCGTTTAGAGTATGTGGCCGATTTAAATGCTCACACGGTAAGCCACCTCGTTGAGCTATCACTTGTGGCCAGGTCGCTTCTGAAAAAGAGCTACATAGCTCAGTGGGCCTTAACTGGTAAAATAA